ACTGTAATGCGGTGGGCATGTATTTTAGGTTGTTGGATGGTGATCATGTGACTATGATAGAGGGAGTACAGTAACGATCAAAGGCGCGCGCGTACGAGATTACTGAACACAATATATTTTGTTTTAGTTAAACATTATTTCACTTTCGTTATCTCCTTTCTCTCTCCCTGGCCCATATCCTTCTTCCTTTCGTCTAACCCTCTTCTTTATTCTCACAACAGAAAAACCCTAGTCTACCCTAAGCGACAACGACTCCGGTCATCTCCCTCCTTCTCCAATACAACAACAACAACCCACAAGCCCTAACCCTCACATCAAACACAACAACATAAAAAAGGAAAAGAAGCTAAGTGATTCGTTACCTCTGATGTGTTTGCTCTGATTCTTGATCATTTCGCTAATCTCTCCCTTTCTATTTGTTTCAGAGGTGTGGAGGTGATGATGAAGGTGATGATGAACAGGAGGCGACGCAGTTGAACACATTTAGGGTTTCAGATTTTGAAACCCAAATTTCAAGCAAGGATGTAGTCTTACGAGCGGTAAGGCCTCAACTCCTTCCTTTTTTACTTCCCTTCTTCTGTATTTTTCGTAAAATCTTCTTTTCCCTGTATAATTTTTCCTCCCTCTGTAAATCTCTCCTTTTTCTTTTGTAAATTTTTTCTCCTATTATGTTTTTGATTTTTAGGTTTTATAGCATTTTTCATTTAGGTTATTTAGGAAACAAAATTATGGGATTCATTACTTAGAGATTTGTTCATGATTCTATTGTAATTTGTATCAATTTTGTTCCAATTTAGTCTGATTCTGTTTCTGTATTTGGTTATGGATTGTTATGGAGAATTGAATGTCAAGATATTGTTTGATTCAAACAATGATTGTTAGCTTTTTGAACAAGCGTTATTTTTTCTTTAATTCATACAGTAGATGTTTTGGAATAATAAAGCAAGCGATCTGAGTATTTTTCTTCAATGATTCAAATAATACATGTTTTTAGGTTTTGGGCCACACGTTTTCTTTTGTTTTGGGCTTGTTCTTTATGGGCTTGGAGATGAACCGTGTGAAAAGGTCTTTTCATTAACTTCTCCAAAAACTAAAACAAATATTAAGAATAAAGATCTAAAAAATAATCTGTAATAATAATTAATAATTATAAAATAATAGTAATGTTAATAATAATAAAATTTAATAGTGTTTGCAATAATAATGTTAAAAAAAGCAAAATAGTTTCTTAAGACAAAAATTGTAATTGACCCAATTGGTTTAATTGTTTGGGCCTTTAACAAAAAACAGCCTGCTTCACACTCTTCAACCTAAATGGGCTATATTGTTCCAATTTATTGGGCCTCTAACAAATGATTCGCTTATACACCCCTTTGATTAAAAAACAAACACTTTTCACCTTTAATTAAAACAAGCCCCCTAACATTCTAATGGGCTGGTCTACTTAACAAAAACCTCAGCATACCTCCCTTCCTAAATGGGCCCAAATAAAACTTAACTAACAAACTCCCCTTTTTGTAAGAGAAATCGAGTGGGCTTTCAATTCCATATGGGCCTTTCAGATTTAGAAAGGTCCAAGAGCTCTTAATAAAATAAACCCTTCAAGGCTTGAAATTTTACATGGGATTTTCTGATTTAGAAAAGCCCATTAATTCTCTAATAGGATAAATTATAACTATAGAGTTTGATAAAAAAAAGATTGGAAATTCGTAGGGCAAATTTGGGGTATGACAATAATAATAGTTTCCATTCTAGTATTGGAATGACACCATATTAGGCATTGTATGGTAGGAGGTAGTAGAACTCCATTATTTTGGTGTGAGTCAGGCGAGAGTGATGTGCTTGGACCTGAGATTGTACAGGAGACGACTGACAAGATCAAGATGATCCAAAAGATGATAAAGGCTTCATAGATTCGTCAGAAGAGTTATCATGATAAGAGGAGGAATACACTTGAGTTCCAACAGGGAAATCATGTGTTCTTGAGAGTTACTCCAGTAACTGGTGTTAAGATAGCTCTGAAGTCGCAAAAGCTTATGTCGCATTTTGTTACTCCATATATGATTTCAAAGAGGATAAGTGAGGTGGCCTATCAGATTACTTTACTGCCGTTGATTGCGAATCTTCATGATGTGTTTCATGTATCTCAATTGAGGAGGTAAGTTTCATATCCTTTGCATGTGATCCAAATGGATGATGTATATGCGAGAGATAACTTGACAGTTGTAGCATCACAGGTGCAGATAGAAGGTCAGGAAGTGAAGCAATTGCAGAGTAAAGAGATTGCTTTGGTGAAGGTACTATGTGGTGGACCAACTGGTGGAAGTTTGACTTGGGAGCGTGAGGATCAGAGGAGAGAGTCATACCCAACTAAGTTTTCCTCAGGTAATTTTCGAGGACGGAAATTCTTTAAGCGGGGGAAAGTTGTAACACTCCAAATTTTTAAATTAATTATTTGTTTGAATATATGTAATTTATGGTGAGTTATGTGATGTATATGTGGCAGGTGGTGGGATAATGTGGATTTAGGTACTAATTAGGAGTATTTTAATTAAATAATTTATTTTATACTGTTTAGAATTATATTAATAGATCAAATAGTATACTAAGGCGAAAAAGAGAAAATAAGGGCATGATAGTGATATGTGAAGATAATTGAAGGTAAAAGGGGTATACCATAGAAATGGTCCAAGGGGTAAAAAGATAATAGGCAAGAATTGGGATCATTTGTGCATCGATCGTGAAATAGAGAGAAACAGAGGAAAATAGGAAAAACGAAGGCTAGGGCTCAGAGAGGGATTTTCTATAGAGCTTGAAGGTGATCAGATTTCTAAGAATTAAGGTAATGGGTTTAATCCTAGTTAATTATGATTGATACAAGGTTAGGGTAATGTAGGGTTTGGTTGTGTAATTAATTTAATGAAATATGTGATGAAATTGATGAAATATGATGATATTGTTGATGTTGATGATATATGAATGTCATGGTTTAATACCAATATGTGTTGATACATGTTTTGATGTTAATATGTGATATATGATGATTGGTATACGTTATGGAATGAGTATGGTATATGTAATCAGAATTGGTATGGAGCTAAGATAACAACGAAACGCAACTAAGAAGTGTCAGAATCGCGCGTCTCACCGCGCGAGCCTGGGGTGAGCCAGTCGCCACAGTGTCGCGGGGAGAGCGAGGTGGCGAGGGGAAAGGTATAAAAGAAGATCTAATTGAAAAATGTATGGGGGATAGAGCGTCGTCGGATGACGAGGTATCGAGTAGAGCGCTCCCAGGGATGCCGGGCGAGCATGAGACGAGCTGTCTGACAATGATATTTCAAAATGCAGTAACTTGAGTTTCAGGACTCTATTTGACGCTTCGTTCTAAGTGTTGTGAAGCTAACATACAAACCTATAACATGATAAAATTGTAAGAGTCATTTGACGTATTATTCTAGTACCTGTGTGTTAATAAAGTTGAATCATTACATGTTGCTATGCTATGATATTCTATTTATTTTAATGATGAAATTGATATTGCTATAAAGTTATTATGAATTTCTATGATGTTGAGCTCGTGGTGATGCAAACGTTGTTGAAGTTAGAAAAAACGTTTTGAAAACTTTAACAAAAAGGTGTATGGAAAAGTGAAAAAGTTGGGGCTCATACCCTTAAATAGGAGACTAAAGCTAGGGCTAATCAAAGGTTCACTAGGTTTTCAATCATATGTGGAAGGCTCTGCATGTTTTGACACGTGATAAAAAAATAAGGTCAATTGGGTGTCCCACGATTAAGTCATAATTGATGACATTAAATTTCCAACTGATGTTTGGCTCATAGTTTGACATGCAAGGTTACATTGAGAGAAGATTAACATGCAAGGTTAATACTCTAATGTTCAAGTCAGTAAAAGAGTAGGAGGTGAAGTTTGAAATCCTCAATTTAAATAAAAGAGTTAGTTAACAACTAAATGCATGTGTCGACATGAAATGCAGTCAACCATTAAATAGATCTGATTGTGAATGGGTTTCTTTATGTGGTAGGAAAAATAAAATCTACTTATACCGCGTTTTGTCAATTTAGACTTTAACGATATTCAACTCCTATACTTTTGGACCTTACAGGCGGTCCAAAACAAAAGTCATATTCACAAATTTAAAATAGTTAAAATTTAATATTGATTTTAAATAAAAAAGTTAAATTAGAATAATTTAATTTCAAGTCATTTATTTTTAAGTTCAATTTGATTTCATATAGTTTAAAATTATATACTTTCGATTTGATTTATTGTTAGTATCTCTTTTCCTAAACATATTCAATAGTGCGGCGGGCAAAGTGGGCAACCCCTATAACATTTGTGCGATAAGCTGGCATTCATAGATAGGTTGGATGGCAATAGGAGGAGGAGGAGCACACACTGGCTGCAGTATGCAATGATAAATATTTCTAATTTTTAAAACCATCCTTTAAGAAATTTTAAATATATGTATCAATAAACATTCAAGTGCACAATAAACTTATTTTAAAGTCGAATTTATTAAAAATATTTAAAACCATTAATTCACCTAAACACTCATTCTTATTTTATTACGCGACGTGGTCATGACTTTCTTTGTAAGAAAAAATAAATACACATATAAATAATTAAGATAAGAGGTGATTAATTCCGCGTCCAACGGTACACAATATTCCCCACCTCCACTCCATTCATTTCATAATTTTCATTCCCCCACGAATGATTAATTAAAATATTTTTTAATAAAATTAATTAATAATATTATTTTAAATAAAATATAATAAACTTTTAATCCAAAAATATTTGGATGAAAGGGTGGAGTCTCTCACAGAAAATTATTGTCCATTTCCCAAAATAAAAGAAAAAAAAATCAAAAACATATCTCCACTACTCGAATCACTTCTCTTATATAATTCTTTCCTTTTCATTCCATTTTCTTCCACTGATTCAACAAATGTTTCTTCTCACAAGATAACAACAACACATGAATTTCCTCAAGAAATTCAAACGCTTCAACCCTCTAGAACCTTCCATAGCCACCTTCGGTTTCTTCTTCCTCTCTGTCCTTTTCATTGGATGCTTCTTCTACGTTGATTACAAGGGTATACTTCACTCCCATGGAACCAAACTCTTCTTCCGTTTTTCCACTCTATCTTCTTCTTCACCCCCTTCTCCTCCTGTTCAATTTTTGACTCCAGAAGGTGATAAATGCGATGTTTTCGACGGAAATTGGGTCTGGGATGAAGCTTATCCACTTTATCATTCCGCAAATTGTTCCTTCTTGGATCAGGGCTTTCGTTGCTCGGAGAATGGGAGGCCTGATACTTTTTATACTAAGTGGAGATGGCAACCTAAAGATTGCGACTTGCCAAGGTTTTTACCAAACCCCTTTTTTTTTTTTTTTTTTTTTTTTTTTTTTTTTTAAATTCTGGTTGGTATAACATAGATAGTGCTGAAAATATAATGACAAAAAGTTTTTTTTTTTTGTTTATTGGTTATAAATGTTTGGTTTTGTCTTATATACTTGATTTTATGAGTTCATCTTTCATAAGGTTTCTTCTGTTTTATATATATGTTTCTAAAATTAGTTTTTTTTTTTTGAGTATTGAATGCATATAGAAAGGTGTTGTGTGTTGTTTTGATGTTGGTTAAGTTTTTTCCTTTACTGGTTTTGTTCTGGTGATCAAAATTGAACTTATTTGTGTCTAACTCAAGCTCAAGAACTTCTTTAGTTTGTCAATTTTTCTTTCTCCAAAAGGAAGAAAGGAATTTCTTAATTGGATAGTTTGTTCTTTTTCCCTTTTTCTATTTAATATTGTTTCTTTTGTATATGCGATCGTATGCTTTTTGATTTGTGATTGTGTCTTATGGAGGATTTTGTTTATGTATATGAATTGGGGATTATTTATTGTTATGATAGATTTGATGCAAGGAAGATGTTGGATATGTTACGAAACAAGCGGTTAGTTTTTGTTGGTGATTCGATTGGGAGAAACCAATGGGAATCGATGCTTTGTATGATATCTTCTGCGGTTGCTAACAAGAGTTCTATTTATGAGGTTAACGGGACGCCAATCACTAAGCACACAGGATTCTTGGCATTCAGGTTTGAAGATTTCAACTGCACTGTTGAATACTACAGGTCTCCGTTTTTAATAGTGCAGGGACGGCCTCCTCCGGGAGCACCTCATCGGGTGAAATTGACTCTGAGAATCGATCAAATGGACTGGACTTCTCATCGGTGGAGAAACGCTGATGTGTTGGTTCTCAATGCCGGACATTGGTGGAATTACCAGAAGACCATCAAAATGTAAGGGTTTTTTTTCCTTCCGTTGTGTGATGGATTATTATTCTTAATAATTCAATATTTAACAAGGATATGTGAAAGAAGACATTAATTATGGGCTTGAATCCTAGCTTCTTTAAAAACGTTAGGCCAGAGCGGTACCTATTATCTGTCATAGGCTCATCTTTATTCTCTGTTTAAATCCATGATGTTAAAATCCTTTGACGTAGAATATGTTATTTTGTTGAAAGATTGCAATGGTTTTTTACCCTATATGTGGTTAAGCCATTGATATTGAAGTTGTAATTATATGTGAATTTGATCTTGGTCTCACTTTGTTGCTCAGGGGTTGTTACTTCCAAATAGGGAATGAAGTGAATATGAATATGTCTACAGAAGATGCATTCAGAATATCAGTTGAAACAGTAGTTGATTGGATTGCCCGTGAAGTAAACAGGAACAAAACATATGTCCTTTTCCGAACTTACGCTCCTGTGCATTTCAGGTTTGCCTCAATTTTCAAACAAAACTTATCTATAAGTTTATCTTTATGTAACACATATATTAGGATTTAGATTTGATAAAATGACACTGCTGTGAACTTAATCAAATTTTACTGTTACATTATTACATAGCTTTCTTAGAGGACTTTTTCTTTCACCACAGCTTTTGGCAAGCATTTTTGTTCTATTATGCATAGGCGCTAACATGTCAACACTCAACATAAGTAATAATTTGAGAAAATTGAATAATTAGATGTAACCACACATGTCAGTGTCAGACACTAACACGCAATGCCTTCAATCTGAAGTGTTGGTACTGCATAGTTTTGTTGATTGACTGTATTTTTACCAAAATATGCATCTCCAAAATTTGGTTTTGCTTTATAATAACCAGTTTAGTTACTTATTTTCTTCATATAGTAATGCTAATGTTATCTGTTTTAGATTCAAAGACATTAAAACATGTGTATAGAATATTTTGTATGTTATTCTTCCTCAGCATATTGTTGCTAGCTTATCTGGTTTCATTCCTTGTCAGAGGTGGTGACTGGAATACTGGTGGTGGTTGTCATTCGGAAACACTACCTGATTTAGGCTCCTTACCGACACAGTCCGACATGCATTTCAGTACCGTCGCTAATGTCTTGCCACAACGCGCAAATAAATCAGAAGTGCTGAATTTGGAGTTGCTTAATGTCACACAAATGTCCGCACGCAGGAAAGACGGCCATGCATCTATTTACTATATTGGGCCAAAGCACACAGCCTCTATGCAGCGGCAAGACTGTAGTCATTGGTGCCTCCCTGGTGTTCCTGATTCATGGAACGAGATTCTTTATTCTCTATTTCTCAAGAAGACTTTTTCGGAGCGCAATTCAACCAAAGTTTCTCATGTTTCACCATAAATAGCTTATACAGTTTGCGTGGAATCGCACATACAAATCTTCGTCAACTCTACTCAATCATTGGCGTATTGCATGAAGCTGAAAGCTAAATTTGCGATCTTAATTCTTTGTGGTCAGTTTCACTATTTGGTAAGCAACTAACTATTTGTTAGTTTGCCTTGTGCTGACACAAAGCAAATAAATTAACATGTTTGGTTTAAGAAAAATGTCTCATTTTTCTGTTTTCTAATTTTACTAACAGTTACGGACTTATAATTTTAATTTCACTTTATCTCATGTTTTTTAGATTTGTACATCGTAAACTATACAAAATAGTTTTTTTGTTGTACAAATCCTTGAAAATTTGAAATAAAGTGAAAATAAGATACCGTGTTCATAACTATTAGTTAAAATTGAAAATACAAACAGAAAATGTTTCTTAAATTGAACATGTTAAGTTATTGTTTTGACCCTCTTTATAGTGTTCTGCCATTTTAAATTATTGTGGAATGGTGAATTTGAGGCATAGCATATAGCTTATAGAAAAATAACAATCTTAGTATCAGAAAGCATACTGCATTTTTTTTGAATGGTAAATCTCAAGTTACAGTGGTCTTGAAAATATTAGTGGAAGATGTGCCAAGTTTATGTTACATTTATGCATATTATATTATTCACTCCATTTTAAAATGACTGCCGTTTATTGGCTTTTACATATAAATTAAGGAATAGAATGATGTTGTCATAAAACATTACACTTTTACAAAATTAATCCTATTAATATATTGGAAGTAGTGTAGAGAGTAGAAAGTAAATGGTACAATTTGAAAAATAGTAATCATTACTATATTAAATAGTGAAAATGATGATTGTTCTGAAACAAAATTTATTTGTTAAAACGAGATTCATTTTAAAATGGAGGGAGTACGCAACAGCTCTAAAATTGATTCATGGAAGTAATCTAGTTCAAGTTTCAAAGCTTATTTGCATTTGTTATCTCATTTGAATGATTCTGGATGATACTACTACAAGTTATTGACTATACTACTTTTTCTTGAAATTGTAATTATGTACTTTGCGTGATCCACTCAGCAATGCGTCAATGTATTCAATAACATCAAAATCAAACTTAAATGTCAAGTTGAATTTAATTACTACTCCATTATGGACCAGCTAAATAGTATAGTAATAAATAGATCTGAAATATTCTTCAGAAAATACTATCTGAGCAGCAAACAGGGCATTTATGAGTTAAACAATTGGCCTTTTCCCTCGTGAATATAAAATCACACATCTCAATTCTCATTTAACATGCACATGAATCACCGGCTCAAATCCCATGCAATGAATCTGTTATTTTCATGCAAATTTGGTGCATAGCTTTGTGATCAGTAAGTCATTTGTTTGGTTGATTTGTTGTTTGTTACTGGTTGATAAGATGATCAATAAAGTAATTTGCACATGTTACAATGATCATCTTTTACCATCACTCTAATGAGCGTTATAGTGTTGAAGGGTATAGACTTGTTTAATTGAACGTGTGTCTTAAATATAAGTTTTATAAAATTGAGATAAATGATTGTAATTTGTTGGTTCAAATTTAATATCTAACGACAATATAAATATATATTCATGTAAACAATATATATATATATATATATATATATATATATATATATATATATATATATATATATATATATATATATATATATATATATATATATATATATATATATATATATATATATATATATATATATATATATATATATATATATATATATATATATATATATATATATATATATTCATGTAAACAAGTTTTACAAAATTGAGTTAAATGAGTAATTTGGTGGTTCAAAGTTTAATATCTAACGATAATATTTATTTATATTTATACATTTATATAAGGGTGATAAAACGGACCGTCTGTTCCGTCTTACTCTATCTTAAGTCCGTTAAAAAAAGAGTGTCTTAAGTCCGTTAAAAAAAGAGTGAGGCTCACAAGTTTGTCAACTGGAGATGGATATAAAAATTTAGTTCGTCCCACCAAAGTGGCGGGTTGACGGACAGCAAGCTTGTCCGCTAACTTTTTTATTTTTATTTTTGATTTTATAATATATTAAAAGATTTTTTTTACATTTCAATTAGATTTTTTAGTAGAATAATTTTTAAAGTAATATATTTTTAACATAATTTACATAAAAAATATTGCATATATTCACAAATAATTATATAAAATAAAAAAAATTAAGAATTTGAACTTATTAGAATTAACTAAAAAAACACAAATTTAAAGTGAGACAAGCTGAACAAATAGGCGCATCGGACTTTGGGGAACGATAGGTTTTTGCGGGGCGAATTTTGATAGACAGTGGTCTTTAACAGGGCAAGCTTTGGTGGATGACGAATTCAAAATCTCAACTCAATCCGTCATTTTTGGCGGGTGCGCGAGCCGGCTCGGTGGACCACAACCCGTTTTATCACCCCTACATTCTATTAGAGGGTAATTTAGTATTTGTCATTTGTTGGATATTCTCATTTGGCCCTATGTGGCATTCTTATCTTTACTATTTTTGTGTATAAATAGGTGTACTAGGTTTACATCTAATACAATCAATTTCCTTCACATTAGTGGCAGCTTTTAGCATTTATTCATTTTCTCTCTTCTTCCTCAATTTCATCACCTTGCACTAACAAATTGGTATATAGAGCTCTTGGTTTATTCTGAAATTCTGGGAAACACGGGTGATAGTGAGCTGTGTGTTTGATTTTTGAATCTTGAACAAAAATTTGAAACAGAATCACACTGATTCTGTGGGTTTGGGAAACACTGAGTGAGAAATCTGAGATCTGAGTTTTTTTGTGCAAGGTTTAAGATGAATGGAGGCAGTAGTTTGAACACTAAACTTCCAGTTTTTGATGGCAAAAACTGGAACATATGGAAGATACAAATGCGTGTGCTGTTTGGTGCTCAGGATGTTCTGGACCTTGTTTCTGAATGTTATGTTCCAGTTGCAGCAGATGCTACTGAAGAACAAAAATCAGAAGAAAGAGCTACGAGGAAGAGGGATCAGAAAGCTCTGTTCTTTATTCATCAGTGTGTGGATGAAAATGTGTTTGAGAAGATTGTTGATTCGACGACGTTGAAAGGGGCATGGGATATACTGACCAGATGTTATGGTGGTGACGTGTCAGTAAAGAAGGTAAAGCTTCAGTCCATGCGAAAACAATATAAAAATCTCAGCATGAAGAACAGTGAGAAAGTTTCTGAGCACATCTCCAAAATGATTCTGATCACTAATGAGATGAAGGCTTGTGGAGAAACACTTTCTGAACAGGTGATCATAAAAAAGATTCAGAGATCACTTACTCCTCAGTTTGATTACATTGTTGTTTCTATTGAACATTCTAAAAATCTGGAAATCATGAGAATAAAAGAGTTGTAAAGCAGTCTAGAAGCGCAAGAGTTGCGTCTGACTGAAAGAACTTCCGAGAGGGAAGTGGAGCAAGCTTTGAAAGCTTCTTTTGTCAAGAAGAACCAGAAGAAGAATAGACATGGTGATAAATTCTAGAAGTCAGAAACCTCAACTTCTGATGAAAAGAAATATCAGAAGGGAAAGGAAAGGTATGACAAGAAGAAGGTTCAATGTTACTGCTGTAAACATTTTGGCAATTTTGCCAGAGATTGTAGAAACAGAGGAAAGAAATCAGAAGAAGCAAATATAGCCAAAGGAGATTCTGATGATGAACCTGTGCTACTGATGGCTTCTGATTCTGATGGGAACTGTTAAGAAGATTAGTGGTATATGGACACTAGTTGTTCAAACCACTTGACTGGGAACAAACAATGGCTGATAGACTTTGACTCCAGAAGGAGAACAAAGAACAGATGTGCTGATGATAAGTACCTTAATGCAGAAGGTATGGGAAATGTCAGAGTCAAAGTGAAGAATGGAAAAAACATTCTGATCAAAGATGTTTGGTATGTTCCTGGAATTAAAAGCAATCTGATGAGTGTGGGTCAGCTTATTGAAAAAGGTTTTTCAGTGGTTATGAAGGTCAACCTCTTGACGTTGTATGATTCTAATCAGAAGTTGATTATGAAGTCTGAGCAGGGAAGCAACAGAACATTCAAGGTGAATGTAGAAACTTCTGAAGCGGAGTGTCTTAGTGCAGAAGGCGCTGAAGCTGACAGTAAGCTGTGGCACAAGAGGTTGGGGCACTTGAACTATAGAAGCTTAGGGAATCTAAGTTCTAAGAAGCTCGTACATGGCATTTCGAAGATTGTGAAGCCTCAGAAGTCATGTGAGATATGCATGAAAGGAAAGCAACCCAGATTGCCATTTGCATCAGAAGTAGCCCCCAGAGCAAAGCATGCTCTGGGAGTAGTACATTCTGATGTGTGTGGACCATTTCCAATACCTTCACTTGGAGGAAACAAATACTTTGTGTCTTTTGTTGATGAGTTCACAAGAATGACATGGGTAACACTCATCAAGTTCAAACATGAATTGTTTACTGAGTTTCAGAAGTTCAAGGTGAAGGCTGAGAAGCAGAGTGGTCAGAGGCTGAAGATTCTGAGAATAGATGGTGGAGGTGAGTATAACTCTACAGAGTTCCAGAAGTTATGTGAGGAGAATGGAATAGAACATGAGGTTACTGCTCCATATACTCCTCAGCAGAACGGTCTTGCTGAAAGAAGAAATAAAACTTTGCTTGATATGACCAGAAGTATGCTGAAAGAGAAGAAGTTACCTCACATGTTATGGGGAGAAGTTGTTGTCACATCAGCATATGTTCTGAATAGGTGTCCAACAAAGAAGCTGAAGGAAATTTTTCCTTTAGAAAAATGGACTGGAGACAAGCAAAGTGTTAGCCATCTGAAGGTGTTTGGTTCTGTATGCTACAAACACGTTCCAGAGGCTAGAAGACGAAAACTGGATGATAAAAGCAAAACAATGTTACTGGTGGGGTACCACAGTGTTGCACCCCAAAATTTGCCCTCTCATGTTTTC